AACTCTTCTAAGATCCTTTACAGAAACCCTTTCAACTCTAATTCTTTTAGAATGAATTTAAGTGAGATAGTTTAAGTGAATTTAATTTGAGGTAGCAGTAAAACAGACCACCATTTCAGATGCAGTTATGGTTTCCTTTCTAGTGGAAGAAGGGAGGAGAGTTGCTTTATGAACCACAAGTACGGCTACATTTTCATGCATGACAGACTGAGCAAACCACAACCTTCCAAAATACTGATCTCCAGAACTTTTCAGCAAAAAGGAAAGCATAAAAAGACTATGATCTATTACAGGCATTTGAAGGCAGATGCTTACAGGCTTCAGTCATATCATGCTTGGAGATTAACTCTGTGGTGCAGGTATCACTTGACCCATTTTAGAAGTTAAACAAAATTTTTTCAAACATCTTCACCAACTAAATGAAAAATAGAATAAAGGGGGGAGGATAAATTGATGAAGAAAATCATTTATTCAATACATTTAAAAGAAATTAAAAGGTAGCACCCTCAACATCCCCTGCTTTAATCAATGCAGTTTCATGAGGCATAATTTGGCTCACTCAGCTGGACTTAACCAAAGAACAATCCTGAGCATTTGCTTCTGCCCTTGTATGCATCAGACTTTTAAGATGTGCCTCCCAGCTCTAAGCAATAAGAGAGCCTTGTAGGTTAACAGTCACCCTTACTGAGCCTGAGTTCAGCAAGTACTTACTTCATTTTTAAACATGTTAGAGAGTGGAGATGAATTACACATCAACTTTTGATAAAGAGCTGGTTCTTTCAATAATTATTCCTCAAATCATATCAAATACCTTTATTAACCTTAGGAGTGCTTGTCCCTGAAACATCCCTTCATCTGCTTGCCCATCTGTCTCTCACTAAAGTATCTGAGTATCTCTGACATGATGCCACTTTGACAAACATAGCAGTATCACTGTCATTCTTTCCATTTGGAAACTTACTGGTCTTTTATGTAGATCAGAGCACTGTGAATTTCTCTGAGGTTAATATAAATAGCATTAATTCACTATTATGACAAGATTCCTGTATATGACAGATTACATAAAATATTCCTGACAAAATATTCCTGTATATTTCTCATGCTGTTTTAAGTATGAAAGCATTGATTGTCCTTCTTTGGTCTTTGTTATTTTGGGGTGTGGACCTTTTATACTGAAGCTTCTACTACATAATTATCTACACACTTGCACCTTATCCTTTATATGCTGTACTTAGATACCACACTGGGCCTCTCTAAAAGTGGGTGATTTTATTTTGTATAAACCATGCTTCTCATTTGAAGGACCAGATAGAGAAAGAGATATAACATCTTGATTTTATTGGTTAAAAATATGCACTATGTTGGGAAAAACTCACTCTAATGGTTTTAATTTCACCTTAATCTTAAAAACATACGTAACTTTGAATAGTATGTTATTCTGATCATTTTAAGGAATAAAAATCATGTTCTGCAATAGTTCTAACAATAGCTAAGCTTTTGTTAGTGTGTTTTTGTATGTCTGTTTCAGACGGGTCATGCAGACTGTCCCTGGAAGCAGTTTTGGAGCAAATCAGTGACTGATGACCTGAAGGGAGCAGAGAGAATATAACAACTTAAGTGGTATAACTTGATAGAACATAGGTTAATGAATTCAGTGGTGGGGCAAGGGGAACAGCTAAATAGCCACTGGAGGGGGAAGTGACTGCTTACCCACTGGATTTTTCTACTTTTAGAGGAGGGTGATTTGCATTCTCTATGACCCATCAGCTATAGGCAATGGTTGTACTGCAGCGTAACCATAATCTGATTTTAGCATACATTTTAGAAACAGTCTGCACTGACACAGTCCTTGTATCATCTTGCACCCATGCTTGGCACATGCCCAAACTTACTATGACTACATACAAAGAGCATTGCTTATGAAGTATTCAATGTAACTGCTAGCTCATGAGCATCATCTCCACCTCTTGTGCTTTAGAATCTAGGACTATGGTATCAGTCCCACAGCACCTGTGTGCTTCAAACTGGCCAAATTAAAGGAAAAGTCTCACACAAGCCACATTGTTATCCTGGCTTTCTACTAAAGACAAGTTTTTCTTCATCTTCTTCTTGAGGAAGAACATTTCTTTGGGAATAAAAGTATGTTAGCAGAGGAATAGGATATGGAAGAGTGATCAGCTTTCCTTATTGTATAAAAGCTGAGAGCAATTAGATTGCTTCCTCTTGAAAAGCAGTAAAAAACAAGGTCAGAGCCTTGGGGGTAGTTTACAGGCATGAGCCTTCAATTCTAGAGTTATTAGGAATTACCATGAGCCTGGGTATAACTGCACAGAGCACTGGGATCTCTGCACTACCCCGACAAAAATTTACTTGAGAGTCCAAGTCTCAACAGATCGGCATTTTGTCCAATTTGACTTATGTCCCATTATTTCTACACTGTACAGAAGGCAAATGATGTTCTTTATTATCATACACCTGAATCAGTTTATTTACACCAGACTGATAAATTTTGGGGATACACAGTAACTGCTCTTCAGAGGACAATATTCCCCATTTTATCCTGGCAATGGTAATTTTAAGATATATTTCCAACAGTGCCATTATTGGACTTTTTCTATAGATTTGATTGGTTCTAATTAGAAATTATTGGTTTAAATCTACTGCACATGGTTTTTCCTTTTAAACAAGAAAATTAAACAGTTAATCTTCTCATCTGACATTTTCTGAGCCCCCCACTCCACTTTTCCCCTGTCATACACAAGTGAAGGTTCTTGGATAATTATAATCTTTTATAGCATTCTCACATTCTGTTCTCTAAAGTGTAATAAAAGATTTGTACTCCACCATTCATCAAAAAATGTCACAATACCATAAGGTACGAGCAGATGAATGCACCAAAGAGAAGTTGATGGGCTCAAGCCTCATGTATTACAAGGGTTTAGTCCAACAGACTTGTACTCTCAAATGGTTGAAATAAGCCTCAGGATATGAGAAGGCTACAGTTCAAAGTCAATGTTATCCCTGTGTGGCTGTGGTAGAGCTGTGCTTGATAGCTATTGGTATTAGAAAGCCTAACTCCATTGAGAGAGATTCTACGGAGAACTGCTTTTACATGAAATAAAACATGCATACCTATACATCACGTATGATTGTGTAAATGGGTTCATGTACATGCTTTGTACAATTCGGTTTGCTTTTAAAAGATTAGACCATACACTCTGTCTCCAAGTACATTATGCTTTTGGATGTGTTATCCATTTACTTTTCAGCAAAGCTTTTCAGTCATGTCTTTGTCCAAAACATCCTGACAAATACATCAAATTACAGCTCTCTCAGCAGCAATACAAGTATATTGCTGTCTGCCTGCTGCTCTTCCCCTCCACCCCAGTTATCTTGATAAAGGGGTCATTCAGGAGAACCTAGCCTTCATTTCTTCCCTGACAGCAAAAAGTGTAAGCACAACAAGCAGCAGCCTGAAAAACTATGTTCACGCCTTGACCTTGAGACTTCCTGAACCAGTTTGGATTGGCTCTCCCCTTGAAACAACAGGCTTCCACAGGAAGTTCATAAATGGACCCAAGTCACAGCAATTTACGTACTTCTAATATTTTTAACTTGGTTCTTCGAGAACTACCCAAAATGGGCGGTGTTTCATGGAGACAAAGAACTGGCCAGTTCTTCCAAGAGCAAACGTCAGTGTGTGGGGTGCAATTCAAACCACTGAAAGGAACATGACTAATGGGCTGTCAGGCCCTGCCAAGGCAACTTCTGCTGAGCCCTACCTTAGGGATGTGGCTGTGTGTTGCGAAGTTGCACTGTACTCCACCATGTATGCCCCAGCGTCAGCACCAATGAGGATCCCAACACCACAGGTAGCCCATATCTCCAAAGAGCTAAGTTGCAGGCCTGCATCCCAAAACCCTCAGCTTCAGGCACGTTTCATCCACGTCTTAAACATTGATGAAATGTCTTCCCTCATGCTGCCCCACCAACAACTCTTGCCTCTCTCAAATAGACAATGCACTGTACATCATTCTAGTCTTAGAATGAGTGTGCAAGACTCAAAGGTGTTAAAGACATTTTTTTCACTCCCCAGTCTGAAATACCTTAGATGATTTTTATATTTTCACATAGCCCTAACAAAATGTGACTGCATTAAAAATATTCCTTTTCATTCGTTTTCAACCTTGTTTTCTACGTTACCATGATCTTAACTGAAAATACCCTTCTTATTTATATATTTGCACTCCACTGATTGTATGCTATAATCTGACAATAGAAATGTAATAATGGAATATTAATTCAAACATCTTGAGTGCATTGCACCTATGTAACTATTGAAAGGAATAGCTCTGGAACATTTTTGTATTTGCAAATAGCCTAATGGAATGGGGATGAAAGATTATTATTAATCCTAGCAATGCATATGATTTCAGACAGAGCTATTTAATTCATTCAGAAATCAGCAACTCTGTCAAAGATCCTTAACGATAGGCTTTAAAGCAACTTTTAAAATTAATTATTTAGTCTGATTAGCTCGTGGTTTGGGATTTTATGGTTTATACTTAACTGCTGTAGTTTGAAATTGAATTACACATATATAAGTAACACCCACTAGATCAGGTTACTTGGGGCCTCATCTAACCTGGTCTTGAACACCTCCAGGAATGGGGCATCCACAACGTCTCTGGGTAACCTGTTCCAGAGGTTACCACTGTCTGAGTGAAAGATCTTTTGGCCTGTATTTGCAAACTATAGGATCCAGATCCACCACAGTTGCTGGCACCCATTTACAAAATTAAGAGTTAATTTGTTGTCTTTTTTTTTTTTTCTTCACTGATAAAGGCTTAATTTATATTCTTCTAGTTTTGCTTTGTGAGCATTTCCTGAGAGGGACATAAGCCAAGCAACATGGAAGATCTGCCTATGGTACCTAGCAGGGGAGGCCTTGCCTTTCTGGCCAAAGTTAGCAGGTCTTACATAATAACGTATTACAATACCTTTCTGTTTCCTGCTCTGTGGTTTGCTGCTTGTTCTCAAAGCCAGTGAAGCTGCTCATATCCACATAGCCGTCATTCTCATTAGCAGCAGATAATGCCCTGCTGGGATCTTCGAAAAACTCAGTAAAAGTTCCTGCTCTTGTGGATCTTCGAGGAGGAATTTGTATATTTTCATAATCAGAGCTCATAGCTGGAATGTTCTCATAGTCAGAAGTGTCAGCATTGGGAAAAGAAATGGATCTAGGTTTTGTTAATGGAAGTGGCATGAAAGGAGGTCTGGACCGGTCCTCAAAGGACTCCACCCTTGACACACTCCTGCTGAAGGACTTGGGTGTTCCTTTTCTCTTACCATCCTTATAGAAAAGAACAGCTGAGGGAGACTCAGATGCACGGAGCTTCCCCACATGTGATTTTAGTTGAGGTGAGCTACTTAGGCTTCTCCTGTCCAGCTCCAGCAGCCTCAGAGGCCCATGATAGCTGGATTCTGATGAGGACCTCGAAGAGGAAACATTAACATCTACATGGACTTTATTTTCCGTCTTCTTCTTGAATTTTAGAGTGAGGAACCTCTTAAAGGAAGACTTCTTTTTCTTGGAATACTTATCAGGTGACTCATTCTCTATCAAAAGTGAAGGCGAACTTTTAGTGATTGGCTTTTTGGTGATGTAGGCAAGTTCAAAAGGAGGTGGTATATCAACAACTGAGGATGGAGTAGATACACCTGACGAAAGATTTCCCTGGGAAAAACTACCTGAGGAACCATTAACACAAGGCAAAGACAAGTTGTCTTCTGTCCTTTTTATTCTACCATCATCAAGTACATAGCCATCACTTTCTTTGTAAATGGAGACAGGTATCTCTCTCCCTTCAACAGAATAAGACCGAGGATATAAAATAAAACGTCTTGACTTGGTTGGTAACGCCCTATTGGCTTCCATTGTTTTTCCTTCCACTGAAAATAAACTATTGCTTACATCTTCAGTCCCAGAGCCATTGCAGGAAGGCAGTAAATCAGTTTCAGGTCCAGTTTCTTCTGGAACTGTTTCTGGCACATAGCCTGGCATTTTCCCAGAGAGCGACCGTGTTCTAGTGACAATGCTTTTACGATCAATGGTCAGCAAGTTGTTTTCACCATCCATACCTAATTCACCCCTCTTACTGTGATCAGCTCCTGAATCAGTCTGCCCCTCACAAGTGATTTCATTTTCTGCGGGAAGTACATATGGGTCATCTAGGGAATCACTGCTAGTTTCTCTTTCCTCTGATTCTTCAGGCACAATGACTACTTCAGGGAGTGCTAGATTTTCATGCAACACATTTTTGGTCCCATGTTTTACATTCATTTTACCATGCTTACAGACTTCTAACTCTTCCTCACATGGAACCTGTTGAGTTGAACTTAAGACACTTTTGCTGAGGCTTTTTGCTTCCACTTCATTGTCTTCAAGCTGCAGCTCATCTGACTTAGAGGTTTCAGCAACCCTTTCACTATGCTCTTCAACAGGCGTATCTTCCAGCTCTGGTTCCATCCCTGGACCACTAGGTAGAGTATCATAAATCTGACCATTTCCATTCAGAGAGGTCCCTTCTGTTTGCAGATTCTCATCTGAATGTTCTGTGGGTACTTCCTCACCATAGTAATTCTCAAAAGGAGCAATTTGACAGCCATCATCCACGTTTTCTGCTTTCACAGCTTCTTCCTCCTCTTTCACAGAGTCTTTGCTTGCTTCACAGGCTACCTCTGATATCTCCTCACCTCTTCTCTCAGTGATCTGGCAACCATCACTGGCGCTTTCTGTGTTTGTATTATTGTACTCATCCGTGTCTGCTTTCTCCTCTTCAGCTGCTACTTGATGGGTAGAATCTCCCAAACCATTCTCAGCACTGGGTTCACCTTCACGCAGTTCTAAGCCAAGAGCTGTTTCCTCACTGGTCTCATTGGGCAGCATGTCAACACTTGCACTGTCATCATTTTTGAATCCCTCTTCCATATTCAAATCAAGCTGTGCATACACACTGTGATCACTGTCATGTGCTGGACATCCATCTCCATTTTCTAAAATCTCAGGCAGTTCCTCCTTATCCTCCCCTGCTTTTTCACAACCTGGGATTGATTCATCTGCGGGAGGTGGCGTCAGAATGGTATCTTCACAGGTATCACCCATTAGGTCCTTATCTCTATTCAAAATGTTATCACTGTCAATCTCACTATAGTCTGCAACCAGTTCAAGACTGCTAGAAGTTTCCTCCTTGTTTTTGGTTTCACTGCAATCACCTACAACATCTTCATCTACATTCTTGGAAGAACAATAATTCTCATCAGGAGCATCTGAGGTCTCCTCACAAAGTGCCTCAGACTGGCCACAGTCTACAGTTGAGGCTTCAGAGTCTGGTTCTACTGGTTCAGCAATATCCAAAGAGTTACAGTGCTCAACTTCTTGATTGCTTGTGTCCTCATCATTAGCAATGTTGTCCTGTTCCTTCTCTGTCTCTTCTGGAGTTTCCAAGACTTCATTCTCTGCAGAGAAATCTAAGCTCTGATCAAGCTTATGTTCCAAGTCATTGCAGTTTTTCCTGGTCAGCTGAGCTTCAGGAACTGCAATGTATTCATTATCTGCCTCAGATTCTGGGCAATCAGCATGGCATTGATTTCCTTCATACAGCTCTCCATCAAGAAAGATCAATTTACCATTTGAGCACTTATTTAAGTTATTGTTGGTATAAACACTGGATTTGCCCTCAGTGTCAGCAGAGAGTTTTGGCTTGGGAGCAATAGGTGGTTTGGGACCTCTAGACATAGAGTTCGGGTTATGAAGAATGTCAGCCCTTGGCAGCGAAGGAGAAAATTTGGAGACAGTTACTGGAGAAAGATGACCGATAATTTTTGGTTTCGGTGCTAGTGGTGGCTTTGTGATTTCTGGAGAGAAGAGAGAGAAGACACGTTAGTCATCTTGGTTTCTTATTAAATACACCAGAATATATTCTACACTACACTTTATCTTATACCAGTGACTTCTAATGCAGAAGGAGTCCAGCTTCCACGTAGCACACTGTTGCTTTATCTGCAAGGTTGCTTTGCAGATAAAGGGAGCTAGCTGCATATATATTATTTCATCTTCAACACCTTATTCAGCTTGGAAGTGAACATCTGTGATCTGTGTGCTTATCAGTCACCTCAAATTCTAGAAATGAATGTCACCACAGTTTTAACCTGAAAAGGAATAACCTCAAAATATAAATTAGCTTCCAGGAACAGCCCAGACATTTTTTCTGATTCCAGGTAGTGATTATACCAGTAGCTCTGTGGGGACTTTCAGAAAATATACTTTGTAGCACAAGATCCCTTCAGTGATGCAGGCTCTCCCTAAAGCGCCTTTGTGCTCTGCAGACCCTCAGCAGGCAGACAATATCCTGCTGTTCCTCCTTTGCTTCTCCAGCAATAGTCAACCTGGAGATTATGACATAGAATAAAGAATGAAACAGATGACCCATGATCCTGTAATCTCACCATTTTTAGCTCCTTGCTTTATTTTGTGTCCCTACTACTCAAAGCTGGAAGTCACCAGGATATGTCACAATTTGATCTGACCTGCAGAAATAGCACTTTGTAGGAGGTACATGCCCTTACTGGCTTTGAATAAAATGGTTCATGTTCAGAAGAGAGAATAGGAGGTTTGAGGCTACTTGTGGAGAAGGATGGCATTCTTATCAGAGACTGTTTGTACTGAAACAACAAGCAGTGAGAAAAAGACTGGAGCACGGAGAATGCCTGGATCTTCAAAGCTTTGGCTTATAAACAAACTAGATACAAAGTAATTAAATTAACTCATTTTCTCTACGCAAAATAACCATGGCATCCACCTAAAAAAAAAAAAAAAAAAGATATAGTTTAAAAACAGTGACCTGATTTCCCTTCAGTTGTAAATTTTCTGTAGCAAGAAGAATTAAGTAATCTTGAATTCCTCCTCCTGCTGCCTTAAGTGACATTGCTGGGGAAGAGAATTTATGATAACTGTCCCTGTTCAAAGTATGTTGACAATAGGCATTGCGGTGTCCTACTCTTTCCCACTGGGCCAACTATTGGCCACTTCGAATTTGGATTTTTTTTTTCCTAAGTACTCAATGTGTTGTTCTTACCTTCCATGAAGTTCATTTAACAATTTTCCCCTTTTGGGGCTGTGTGCATACACAAGCGTTTAAAATAAATCCTAACAATTACTGAAAAGAGAGCAAATCTGTCAAGCACAATGGACCACCGCTTGTCTTTTATTACAACTTCACTCTGTTCCAATTTCTGCTTCCTTTGGTGTATGAACCATTTAAAAGAATCTGGCTGTAACTTCTAAATGGATAAAAACCAACATTGCACCATAAGAAACATGTATGTTCACAAATAATGGCTCATGTTTATTTTAGGATACATTTTATGTTGGAGGGAGACACACCCACCTTGTGCTTAAAAGGAAACTCTTGGGGAATAGGAATTTCTTTAGCCTGCTCCTCCCCTTATTGTTTGATGTTTCCTTGTACTGACAAGGACAGCTTCCTTTCCTTACCCACCTTCCTTCAGGCAAACCTGCATTTCAGCATGGTTTTGTTCCTGCCATGGCCCACACAAAACTGCTCTGCTCTCCACCCCTGTCCCTCTTCACATCTAAGTGGTGGGCAGTAAGCCTAGCAGCTCTCCTGCAATACCAGTCAACCGACACAGCCCTCACTTTTCATATTTCTTTGAAAAGTGGGGTATTGCCTGAAACACTGCAACTACCCATTTTCAGATGTTCTCCAGATTTAATTTAGGAATTAGCCTAGAATTTAATTAAGGCTAATAAGGGACGATAACTACCAACATCTCTACCCCACCAAACAACTGGTTTGGGGTGAATACTTAAGTACTGAGGTTTCACATTTACAAGGACTTCTGTAAACTTGTCCCAGGTCCATGGTCTTTTGACAGTGGCCCAAGAAATGAGTTAGCTCCACAGTGTAGATACTAGTTCTACCTTTGGTGCCACAGCCAAGTTCAAGCATCTCTTATGATGCTTAAAGTAGCTTTTTCTGACCAACAAACTTGTGTGGCCTGTGGTTTCCTCATTCCTTTGTCATTAATTCAATTCAGATACAAGTTAAAATGAGAGAGACATTGAGAAAGAGAGGGCAAAAATGCTTTTAAATGTAAGTGACCATGCAGATAGAAAGACTCCACTGCCAATAGTGTGATGAGACTGCACCAAACCTAGAATTTCAGTAGGAACCAATGCACCCAAGTCCTGATTCTCAATACTCCTGCAAGGAACAAAGGCTTCAAATCCACAGACAGAAAGTGGATGAGAAACAGGACGTGGAGGGAAAACGTCTGGGAAATGGCATCAGAAAGTATTATTCAGCTCTAATCAGAAGCTGTGTAATTTCACTCAGTTATATCAGAATAAAGGCAAAACTTGTCTTCTAGAAAGCTTCAGTCTGAATAGAGTAAGAGGTGGGTATATACCTTAGTATACTCCTTATCTTATTTCCATAATGAATTGCAGATTTTTAAAACAAAGCCTTTATTTCCAGTCAGCGCTGTCTGACTTCTATCCCCAGCATTTACTATTGTTTCTTCTGCTAGGTTAAAAACTCTTTTATTATTCAGTATTTCTCTGGAGAAGACATACTTCCCTATAACCACATCTCTGTGCAATCCTGGTTTTGGTAAATTGATTAGATGAACTTGTTAAATCTTTGCAGTTGGACAATTTCTCCTTTCCTGAAATCTTGTCTTTTAGATTTTTTTTTCCTGAGCTTTTCCAATTTTCCAGGAGCCCCTATAAGATATATAGTGCAGACCTATAAGAGGAATTCCAGAGTGGGTACTGATGATGCTATTACACAGCTCAGTACTTTCTTAGACCTGGTTCTCACTATTCTTGATTAGCTTGTCAATATATCAGGTTGACTTGCTTGTAAATTATGACTTCTCAATTGTTCCCAAGGCTACGTTTTCCCTGTTTGTTGTCTCTAACTGATAGCTTTATAACATACATTAAGTGTAATTAGTTTGACTGGATCCAACTTAATGATCCTGATCTGTTTCTATAACTGCCCTGCCTACATTGTTAATGACCCTGTCACCAATTTTTGCATCATAAAGTGAACTTTGTCATCTGATACTTTTCTATTTGCTTTCCAACCATAAAAATATTGAACAGTATCAACCTATTCATTATCCCTGCATTATATATACTACCATTTGATAACGATAGAGATAACTGCTAAAGAGATTCTCTACTGCCCGTTAGCCAGTCTCCAGCCTAATTAACCGAGAGCGTATCCCTGTTATATAAATGCTTCTCTCTAAAATCAGTGTACAACTAAAATACACAGACATTAATGTATGTCTTTGCATCTATACAATCTCCTCAATTCCAATCTGTAACTTCTTCCAAAGATGAGAATCAGATTCCCCACTTCAAGCAAGTAAAGTCCCCCTACTGAGGAAATAAGAACACGCAACCCTAAGAGTAGTAGTTAATATAGGAATTCATTTACATGTCACAGGATCACAGAATGCCACTTGCCCAAACACTATTATAGACACAAAAATGGTTTGGACCCAGAAGAAATTCTACTATGAAACAACTTGTATCCTTTTATCTTATCAACCAGACAACAACATGAAACAACAAAAAAACTTGCCTATACCAGCAGCCATCATATTCACAGTCTTTCACATCAGAGAATAACTGTGCTATCCAAGAGCTCATACTATGAACAAAAGCCACATGCACCAAGTGCTGTACAAATCCAGGAACTAATGGAAACAGTGCAGCTGCTCTGTATAGTCACACGCAGAAGTTTCCATACATCAGCTACCAAAACAACACCAAGTTTTTACAAAAGCAAGACAGAGAAGAAATTCTCTACCTGTGTCTATTTCAGTTTGTCTAACAAAAGGTTTTATGCTTTCACCATGGTCCCTACTCCTTAGAGAAGAAACTGTTCTATGATTGGTAGACAGAACTTCCTATCAAAATAACACATGGAGGTTCACGGTAAATGAAACAGACAGCTCTTCTTCATGGATGAAGAGCTGGCTTTGGACATGGCAGGACATGGACACCAACCACCACAGTAATTCTGGCAGAAATGTAAAGCGAGACAAGAAAAGTGACTCCTAAAACTCACTTATTTCATTTGCAGTATAAGAACCTATATGCTCCAAGCTGTAACTACAATTCTGCCAGCTGTCTGAATCAGACACTGAGAGTGTGCTTAAGCTGCTTATGCAGATAAGCCATTTTAATGTAATTCTGAATTGAGTTAAGTACCCAGCATAAGCTGTGTAACCTGCCTCAATACATTGGAGATAAAATAGATGAGGTAGCATGATTTACAACGAAAGTATAATCCCTTTGAGGGGGCTCAACTCATAAAACACTAGTGCTGCCACTGGTAGGACCCCAGGATATACTCTAAATAACTGAGATGTCATAATTTTTGTACTATTCACTGCAAAAATATCTGGTTTATAGCACGTGAATTCATCACTTATTTCACACAGTCAGAGAAAAATAACAGGTTTAAAGTAACAGCAGTTACCTAAGAAATGAAAACAGTTGCAGGAGTCACTTGAAATGGAAAAGGTGTTTAGGCTTGAATTTTCTAATGGTACAGGACTGCAAGTCTTCTTTTCAAATGGGACCCAAGTCCAGATTTAGGCACCAGTTTCCACTTTGACTTTAACAGCAACGAGCTACTTAAGTCTTTTGAGAGCTGAGACTTCAGGCACTTCAGGTCTTAGGTCCTATTCAAAGCCAGAAAGGGCTCCTAAATGCCTCAGTCATTTACGAAAATGGGATTTCAGCTTCTCCATAATTCTGGTATTTTTGCAAAGAATCTGTGTTCTCTTAACAATGTATATCCTTCAAGTGACTGATCCAAAGTCCTCTGCAAGCCCACACAGCATGAAGGTTTCACTAGTGTGGAGACAGACCCATAGACAGTAGTAACTATCCCAAGGGAATTTTGTCTCCTTACAAATCTTAATTGAAATATTATCATCTGGGCTGTCAGAGCACACCCCACCCTGTAGAAATAAAATGTTGTACTGTACAATTATTGGAATCCATCCTCGATGATTAGATCAATGCATTATGACTCTGGAATGTCTGATCAACAGTTTACAAATTTGTCTTACTATCTAACTTCATTACAGCCATCTATAAATATAACAGCATAATATCCTACAGAGAAGCACTGCTAGGCAAATGGAAAAATATAAAGACAGTATAATGAGAAAAGGATAAGTTTCAACACCAAATATCTTGATCCTTCACAAATTCTCCAGCATTTTCACTGACTCTAAACAGGCTGTACATACATGTCTTTGTATGGCCGTGGGAACTGTCTGTGGAAAAACCCTGTATGTATGATTACAAATAATCTCAGTTCTAAATTACTAGCATATATTTCTTTTCAATATACCTTTAAATGTTTGTGATGTTTCCAATTTGTCTGTGTTTTCACCACAGGAAGCTCACACTGCAGCAGACTGCTTATATTCACCTGCTGTTTCATATATTGCTTTCTGGGAGCCAAAGACAACAGTGATTAGATTTTTTAAAATTTTTTTACAGGTACATATGGCAGCTTTTCCTCTACCAATTTCAGTAGCAGCTGAAAGAATGTCTAATCTACTTATGCCTATGAACAATTTGGATTCTAACATCTGTACCTTCATCCTTTGGGCAGCACCATTTCAGCACCCAGCAAACAAACGTACCAAGAGCCTGGCAGGTCCTGTGCATGAGGCTGGGAGATGGGGCTCTCTCTTGTCACCACAGATTTCCTGTGACCCTGCTGGATTGCTTCATTTTTCTTTTTGTATCAGTTCTGCATCTCTGAGGATAATCCATATCTCCCTTCCTGTTTTCTGTCCGTCCTTATTTTAACTTCTGTGGGATCAAAGCTGCCTTATGTGCCTGCACGTATGACTGCTTACTGGTGCTATGTGTTACTGTAATACAAAGACCACTGATGTGGGTCCCTGAGCTGCGCCAGTTAATAAACACCCCTCTCCTTCAGATTCAATAGGAAGTTCTGCTTTGCACTGATGGGAGAGACATTCCTTGCATTGTGTGAATGCACAAAACAAAGGCTGAGAAGGGATATGAACACTCTCTATAAATACAACCTGGAGGTAAACACCAGAGGAGGAAAAGAACTATTTTTAAGCAAAAGGACAATGTAATCCCAAGAATAAATGGCCATGAAACTGGTTTGGAAACTAGGAGGAGTGACAAGAGTAAGCAGTTCTCAGCTTCCTGAGAAGAGTAGCAGAAGAGCTGCCTAAAATGTTTTGTATAACCTGATGAATTGATAAAAGGAGTAATATGACTTCGTGATTTCTAACAAAAGGTTACAGCTTTCGGTAGTGAAGGTAGTCCCATTCAGTCCCATGCTCCTGAACAAAGAAAATTGCTAACAAAACTTAAGAGTTTAGAGCGGAATAATTTGACGTTCCTTACACTGCGCATCCACCAAGATCACACCAAATCAGAGCTGCTCATTTTTAAATAATGGAAAGATGAAGAAAGAGAGGTTGGAGCATCACAACTAAAGCAACTTTTGGCTGGCTTGCTTAACCTTCAAATGAGTTTGTTTCCTGGGAGGGCCAGAGTCCAGTCCAAAAAGAACAAGGAAACGGCATGGAAATGTCACCACTTTGGGGTAGGATAGCGTCCTATTCCCCACTCCAAGGACAGCTATAAGCTCAGCGGAGTGGTATGACAACCCCATACAACAGCAGAGGGCTGGGTTGGACCTAAGTGATCCCTTCCAATACCGTCTTCCTGTGCTTGGGCAAACAGTGATTCACAGTTTCCCAACATATGACAATGGCAAGGCCAGCCGTCTAGCCGTGAGATCTCTAGGCTTCAGGACATACCCATGCGATTTAGGTGCCGGGTGACATTCACTCTCTGCAAGAAGGAATTGTGGAGGAAAATTTTAGGGCTGACACCAAGGGACTGTTTCTTTTCCTCTCTACCTCTGTGCAGCATTAGATTTTTCTAATTAACTCAGAAGCTGGTAGTAATTATTTCCCGTCTACAGTTTTTACACAGGCCTCATCCTTAAAATCAGAAAGTCGGTGGAGAATTTGAAGTTTGCCCCAAATTTTCAGTCACTTATTTTAATGTCTAACTGTTGAACGTCTTCTCTTTATAGCTCTTCCCTTTTCATCCAGTCTCTCTCACCTCCCCGGTTTCCGCCAGGGAAAATTTCTGGGAAATTAACAGAAGACAGAAGGAAAGGTTTGGGCTTGCAGAACTTCTTGCCCACTGCAAAAAACACTACCCCAAAACTCCAGACTTCCCAGAGGAAGTCACAACAAATTTCCCAGGGGCTTTGTGGAAGTGCGAGCATGTCCGAGGCAGAGCCACGTCCCGCAACAGACACGGCCCTCCCGGTTTGCCGGCCTGGGTCTTCCCGGAGCCCTCGGCTCGCCACCGCCACGGCCGAGGGACCCCTACGAAGCCCGCGGGAACCGGGCAGCACCCGAGGCAGGGGCCGGGCTGGACCGGCCCTGGGCGCCGGCTGCCGGGCCGAGCGGTGCCGGCGGCGGGGAGCGGCGCCCAGCCGCAGGAGGAAGGATGCCGGCACCGGAGGGAGGGCGACCGCCCGGCGGCTGTCAGCACCGGGGAAAAGATGCCCGGCTGCGGAGAACCGTGCCCGCAGAGCCGCGCACTTACCGGCGTTGTTCATCTTCCACCGCAACTTCGCCTGCCGCCTGCTCACAGCATGGTCCCGGGGGCCGCCGCCTTCGCCCCTGGCGGACGCGCCGGCGCTGGAGCCCCTCTGGGGCCACGGGCACGGAGCCGGCGGGGCGGCCGGCAGCGGAGCCGGCTCGGGGCGGTCAGCGCCGCGCCTCCGCCCTGCCCCGCGCGCGGCCCGGCGGGGGCGGGGGCGGCGGGACCCCGTACGGCCGGCGGCGCGCGGGGCGGGCCCGGGAGGGGCGGGGACCACCCCCCGGCCCCAGCGGTGGGGCGCGAGACGCCCGCGGGTGCCTGAGGGCGCGGCACTTTAACGGCGCGGCGGCTGCCCTCGCCCTGCCCGTCTTCCTCCTGCCCCCGCCTCGTGCTCCCCACCTCCCTTTCCGGCCCCTCGGCGCCTCTTTGCACCCCCCTTGCCCCTCCAACCCCCTCCTTCTCCTTCCCCCTCCCTTCCCTCCGTCGCCTCGCCCGCCTTCCCTCCCTCCTCGGTCTTTCCCCCCTCTCCGGCTGCTTCCTCCCGTTGGCCCTTCCTCCCCTTCGCCCCCATCCCTCTCTCCGTTCCCGGGACCGGACCGGGGCCGCGCCCCACGCAGCCGCCCCCAGCACCTGCCGCTGGAGCCGCTGCAGCGGTGCCTGGGAGCGGCGGAGCCAGGGACGGGCCTTGGCGCACGAGCCGTGCTTGCTCGGAGCGGCTGCAGGCAGCAGCGGGCTGCCGTCTTTTTCCCCTCTCCTGTAAAACAGCTCTCGGCTCGCGGACGTTAACGCGGGCATCCTGTGTCTGGGCGCTGCTCCCTGCTTTCGGGCTAGCAGCGGCACTAGCCCCCAGATAAGGTTGGCTCGCCCCCTTCCTCGCACTAGAGGCGTGATACAGCCCTGCTTCCTTTCCCAGCGAAGGTGGGATTGCTCGCACAATAAAGCAAAGCTTTGCAAAACCCCTACCCCGGCAGAGGAACCCCTGGAAGGTTGAGCTGCCCCAAGGGAAGGCGAGGGAAAGGCCGTTCCCTACGGTCAGGACGGATGCTTGGGGCCTCCCAAGAGCCCCGCACGCCAGCAGCTGGGGATTGAGATCAGCAGCGTGCTGCAGTGCCTGGAGAGTACAGGCTGGTGTGTGCATGAAGCTGTCAGGTCATGCCTTGGCATCCTGCATCCCATATAAATCAGGACTGTTGCTGACATCACCCAGAGCAACTTGGTTTTAGGTGCTGTTAGCTCTGCTTCGGCAAGTACCTAAAAACTAACTAATCATCCTGCTGGCAGGTGCTCTATAGTATAGCCAAAGTTGTGGTGGGCTTGAGTCTCTCTCACTGAGGCTGGTATTTGGGGATGACTGGTTTTGATCTATAGGAGATCATGGTTGTATCGCTACACCTCAAAGCATTTGAAATTCTGTATGGTACTGGAGATGCATAAACGCCATGGAAAATGCTCCTTGCAGCAGGTAGAGTCCAGCACAGAGGAATCCTCTTTCTCAGGGAGAATCCAAGGCTTAATTGACTAAAGTGAAATTGACACGTCTATTTTCATTACTCAATTACTGAAATGATAATGAAATGTGTTTTTTGAATAATTCCAACTATTTTTTAATAAGATGACTTTTAGCAAAAGATTTCTTTTGAACTATAATCCAACTATTCATTTAATGTCTGATGAATTTTTAAACTCTTTCTAGGCTTGTAGGTCCCTATCCAGTAGGTTATTTAAGTATGTGCTTAAATCTATGCAAGTGGATAATCCATTTAAAGCAGGTCTACTCTATATACTTACATGCCCTAGTAGATTAGAGTTGTCCAGCATGTTGGAATCTTGTTTTTTATAATTTAAACATAAACTAGCACTCTACTTGCCATTTTAATGAAGGTCTAGAGACTCTTTCTATCAGACTACACTACTTAAGCATCCTAATTGTTATATTTCTTCCTCTCTACGTAGAGATTTTCTTCAAGATGAGGTCTGCTTCACCATAAGCTGTATTTCAGAACATTTTTGATCATCTTTCACTGGAGGGGGAGAGGTTGACCCCCAAACCACAGAGAACTTAACCTGCTGCTTCTTCCTAGGAACAATTTCAGAAACTGACATTACCTTATAAATCTTTACATTAATCTGCTATTAGTTGCCTGAGAAATCAGGCTTTCATGTTATTTTCATATTTCCTGGTGCATCCTATCAGGTAGTACGCCACCTGGGAAACTATGGGACAGGGAGAATCAGTCCAACAGCTCTCATTACTGTTGGTGATCTGGCAAAGCCCAAATGTGTAGATTCAAAGGAAAAAATAGATAGGACAGTTAATTGCTTGTGTTTGTTTTTGTGTGTCTAGACTACCTGAAAAGCTTACTATATGGGGGAAAGTCTGTTATATGGACATGGATTAATGCCGATTAGGTCTGCTTTGGCATTATTGTATGTAAGCACTTCAGTTACTCGGGGGAAAAATGGTGCTGTGTGTTACATAAAGTGAGATCATTCACTAAAGCAAGATGGAATAGTAAATACAGGCCAATAACCAGATGCATTCCTTGCATAAAATAAAATGTAAAATGTGGCAGTTGTGATGAGCTGAATATTTTAATAGCCACCCAAGGTAAATACTGGTAAGTAAAGACTTATTGGATATTTATCTTTGGAATGGAATAGCACTGGGGGGCAGTTGCAGAGTGATGTCATTGCTGCCTGAAGACAAATTCCCATGGCTGCGGTATTTTGTATGCTCTGCAAAGACTAGTGTTTTAATGTTTCCTCTGCTCTCTTGGTTTCTTCCTCCTCTCTTCTCAAAAGCCTGACTGACACCAGGAGGCTTAGAACCAGAATAGTAGGGTGTGCTGTACACCAAACCAAGAGCCTATCAGACATGTCACAGGCTTGGTCCTGAAGAATTTAAATCCTAAACAGAAGCAAGAGAAAGTCTCCCATGAATGAGAGAGAGAGGAATAAAGCTGTGAAATTATCTAAATATGTCTTTGACTCTATCTTAAGCAAATGAACATTTGATTCTTTCACTTTTTTTTTTTTTTTTTTTTTTTTTTTTTTTTTTTTTTTTTTTTCAGAAAAGGGCCCCTAGGGAGAACACCAGTCCTCTCAGGTAGGTTTATGTGCTTCCACTAAGGTTCATGGTGTCATCAGGGTTCCTGTTATATACCAAGTTTCTAAAATTTCTGTTGCTTAGTGTTTTGGTAAAAAAGTAATATTTGTAGGTAATGGTAAAAAATCTAAGAGCTTACAAAATGCCACAGCTGGGTCCATCCATTCCTCGATGTCATAGAGATTTTTTTCCTTCTCAACTGCCCAGATGCCTAGTTCTCAAATCCTTGCTCTGTTTTGATTCATGTCTTACCCAACCAAAGCTTTCTTTGACTTAACTTAGCTTGAGTAACTCATGTCTTGACATGTCCAGAAACACATTTATCCTTACTCAGTGGGACATGATTATTTTGCACTCCAAAAGCATGCAGTGCCCATATTTGCAATATGTCAGTAGAGCTCATGAGCTCTGCAGACAACAAGTAGAACAGTAGCTAAAAATACACTTGCATGGATTTACCTACTGCAGTCAGCCTTGTTTTCCTCCAACCTTTCACCCCCTCCCAAATGCTGTTACATAAAGCACTGGAGGAAGTAACTTCGCAGAGAACCAAACCATGGACTGGGAGAGGAAGGACTGCAGATGGCTGCTTCAGGCATCAGTCGAAGTAAACCTGAAGGTTAAGTCAGGAGCAGTGCCACTGGGGGTCAAACATGTGGGTGTAAAACCGGTGTCAATGAAAGAAAATTGGGCATTGAATCAAAAAGGCTGTCTTGGCACAATGTCAACAGGAGTTCTAGCTTCATTGGGACCAGAGTTGAATTTCACTCCTGGAGGTCAGCAAACACACTAAATTTCATCTGAAAAAGGAAAATAAATAATAAATAAAAATCCAGATGATGGAGAAATTATAACTGGTTTCCTGTGTTTGATGGGACCATGCATTTGACACCCCCAACATATGCAAGTCTCCCTCAGCAGTGAATCACCGAGAGAAAAAGCTACAGCAACAGTGATTGTTGCTACTTCAGAGCATTGTTTTGAACCACAACAATTAATGACATGCCTCGTTTTTATCAGGGCCGTATTCTGGGTGCAATGTGCCATGTGAGAGGTACATATAGGGAGGAAGCCAAACGCCCATTTCCTCTTAGTATTTGGGTTTGTTTTGGTCTCACTCCAGGGTCAGTCTCCCTCTAGGCTCCTTCTACCTCCAGTCACTCCCTTACTTCTGCAACCCACTTAGCTCTGGGGCCTTTTTGGCTATGAAACCCAGCCTGCATTGATTAGCGCAGCCACTGACCCAGAGCAGGCTGGCAGCTGCGTTCTCCATTTCCTGCCCAGGCATCTGCTGCCTGATTGGAGGAAAATCATTCTTAAACCTTCTTCAAAAACAGGAAACTTCTCTTCTCCCTGCTTCCTGCGGTACAGGAACCGTCTCCACAGCAACTCCTGGACAAAGAGGGCTCCTATTAACCACCGGGGTGCCATAACAGATACAGCAGGAGACTAATTCAAGACATAATCCTACCCCAAATACTGGAATCTGCCTTTCTGTTCACCACTGCTCCCACTACCTCTGCACCCATACTGCTGCCTTGTTAAATAGTTTGGAGGTTAATTAGCCAATGATAATCCTTTCCATCACAGAAGCATTTGTAAGTACTTTTCAACTTTAGGACTAAATATTGATCCTGTGTTGGCAGCTCCTGGAACAATTTTACAATACTCTCTCTCCATCTTTTTGGAGAGGCAACTGAATCTTACAACACTGTCACCCTCTCAGGTGTTTTGCAGGATGTGTCTTAACATTATGCAGTCCATTTTTTTTTAAAGTGACAATTTCTTGTATTCCATGAGCATTTTATGGCTAAAAAGTATTGTCTTGCTGTGCTTGTTGAGTATTTTCCCTATTATGATCAGACTTAGAGAAGTCCGAAGTTGAGCTTTCAGAAAATCATTTGTAGTTTGAATGCAGTGAGAAAACTCCACCTATATTTGTGATTTTGCATCAGCGAAGGACAATTGCTAGCAGAGACAGTTGAGCCTAGTTGAAATGAGTATTAACTTCTGCAATTCTGTATTTGTACAGAGAGTCACAAATTTGCTTCAAAGTTCAGATTTGGTGGGTTCTTTCAAAAGAGCACTCAGGTCAGCTGTATCTGATAGGGAGTTAAAGCGTAGCTCACAGAATAAAAGCAAGTATGATAGATGAGAATG